TTTCGGACCGACCTAATACATCATTCGATTGAGCAAAGCAAGCTCCACAAGATACCATTCAAACAATTGCGAAAGATCCGAGTTTGAGAAAATGATCTAATGATATTTCAATGTTGAAAGACGTGAAATAGTTCGCGAACCTCCAACTTGGTCAAACATACACTATACGTACCAGATAAGTCCTAGGTACATTTGAGGTACTTTTTCCTGGCTGGAAATTGGAAAATGAAAATAGGTCAAAAATTCGAAAATGTCGCCTTTCGCGTGTTTTTCATATTGAATGTGTTATTTATCAACGCTAGCGCTTGTAGAAAGCAAAAATTTATGGACATACTTCCAAAGCTTTTAAGTTTGGGATGGTTCATATTGGGACGATTGTACATCGCTTCGAGAGCCTGCCAAAATTGATTTTTCTGATTTTACTCATGGAAAATTACAGTAAGTGTATGCATAGCTGATGCTTCAAGAAACTTTCTTTAGCATTTCGGAGGTCTGTAAGATTTTTTGAACAGAGATCCGGATTTTGAAATTTGAATTTTGAAATTTTTCAAATAATGTTCCGGGCGTCAGACTTTTTGAGACTGTCGCTCTATCGAAAGATATGTTTCGAACCTTCTTATAGCTTTTCTTTTTTCTCTAGCTTTATATAGCTTTTTTGCCGCGCAAGGATAAGAAACATGCATTAATTTGGCATCAACCCGAGCTACTGATGCCTTTAAATTTTGCAGATTATTGCGTCACTTATCTGCACGATTTGTGGGGAAGCTTTGAAAGTTTTATCAAAAACGATGGAGAAGCGATGTATGTGCGGTTGCATCAGACTCGAGTTTCGTATGTAAAAACTTAGCATGATGCCCTCAAATTGTTTTCAAGTGGAAAATCTTGAGGGATTTTAAGATTGCAAATTTGAGTCGAATCAATGCGATTTACTACTTTTGTCTAAGAAACGAACCACCAAAATAGGTTCCATTGAGCAACCGTTCGGCTACTTCGAAAGCTTCATCCACAGCTCTTCGTGCTGCTTCCTGCTCTGACGGTACCCTTTGTCCTTCGACTATGGCTCGAACTGCTGATGGCATCTACAAAGTAATGATGAGCACCATGAGCACCAGCTGGACTAATTAGAACCTTACCTTCGCTTCTAAGTTTCCGGCGATCATTCTTTGTTTGGCTCTCAAATAAGGGTCGTCTGGAAGGATGAGCACCTCGGGTCTAGTCCAATCAAGATATTCACAAATCAGCGCTGAGTCAAGGAGTATCTACAAAGACAACTTTTGGAAAATCTAAACAAAATTATTAGGATGTGAGTCTCCAACTTAATGCCAAAGTACATTGAACCTTACTTTGCCATTATCTTCCAAAATTGGCACTCTTTCATCGGGATTCTTCTCCTTGAGAAATGATGGTTTATCAGAGAGATTTACATTCACGACTTCAACGCTAGAACAATTCAAGCTTTGAACATAAGTTTTTCTAAAAAAACCATTATCTACCTGATATTCTTTTTGGCAAGATAGATCAAAACTCGCTCGCTCCATGGACAGAAACGCATCGCATATAGTCGCAGAGGATGAGATGGTGGTTTTAGCTTATCTCCTAACAAAGTAACATTTCTAGGCAATCAAACAAACCTCTTTCTCAAAGAAAATGTTTCTCTGAAATTTAGTAGGATCTAGAACTTCCTGATTTTTGCATTTGTGCTCTTAATGAGATTATGAAGCTTTTTGCAAAGGTACTAAATGTAACAAGTTACCTCCTCGAAGCGATTTCGTTTCCAAGCCGATGATTTCCGGAGAAACAGGCATAGCCAAAAGTGATAGGGCAAGCCCAACCACAGCGCCAAGCATTGTCGAGTGAAAACACTGAAATCCACTTCGGCAAGGTCAATTCTTGACTTTCTGTCCAAAAACATTCGCATAGAGTCATTAACCCCATTTTAGTCTATTTCGTTGTTAACCATATCAATCAGGAACGAAACTGCTCAAACTGACACTTAATCGGTCTACTACTAGTTGCGATGCATTGTTTAGCTGTTTTGCCAATGATAAATTGCAGAAAGTTAAAATAGGTGATCCTTTTGACCCTTTCGTCACGACTCAAAAAAAA